GTCTGTCTCTCTCTCTCTCTCTCTCTCTCTCTCTCTCTCTCTCTCTCTCTCTCTCTCTCTCTCTCTCTCTCTCTCTCTCTCGGTCTCTGTATCTGTCTCTCTATCTCTATCTCTATCTCTTTTTCATTCGCTCACTCACTCATTCGCTCGCTCGCTCCCTTTGACAGTCAAAATGAGGCTTTTCCCTATTTGCAGAGTCCGCAGATCGATAACGATCGTGACGATGGCCGCCGGTTCAGGAGCGCAATGCGCGCCCAATATTTATTCGTGTCGAAGTCAAGAGCAGAGAGAAACTTGGCATTTGTCGTGGACAGCGAGAAAATTGTTGTGATGTTTATCTAAAAATACATGCGCGCGCCGTTTGACGTTTGTTACGGTAGTCTATTAATAGGCAAATGGTACAGGGGCGCGTGCACGTCACAGCCGTAAGCACGACAACGAGTTAAGTAACACATGCGGGATGATCAAAAGGGCTAAAGACGAGTGAGTGTTGGTTAGAATCGTTGAGTGTATCGTGCCGAGAGTAGGTATAAGCATAAGTGCAAGTGGTCTCTCACCGGTTCCTCTACGGGCTCGTCGAGCAGCTCGAGTATGGCTCCGGTACTCGAAGGCAGGCCGCCTCCGCTGGCGTCCCGCACCGGCGCCTCCTTCGACTGGCCCGACGACACCTGTTGGGGCGATGGTGGCGGGGATGGCAGTGGCGGTGACGGTGACGGCGGTGGCGGTGTCGGGAGACAGCTCCTCGCCTCAGCCTCGGCATCCGCGCTGCAACAGCAAAATAAGCTCGCACCTTTGACGCTCGTCCTCGTATAGGGGTCGTAAGAGCGGGGGTCGGGTCGGTCTCGAGCGGGGGAGGAGGGGGTTTTGGGGTGGAAGGGGAGGGGGAGATGTCTCGGTCTCGGTGAGATAAGGACCATCGGGGGCCGGGAATCGCGGGCCCCCGGCGGGCAGTAGTGCCACCGCGACCGGCGTCGAGGCTCGTCGGTTGCGTCACCGTCACCGCCGCGGCGTCGCCTCCTCCGCCGCCGCTGCTACCGCCGCCGTCGCCGCCGTCCTCGTCCTCTCCTCCGGCGGGCGCTGCTGGCAGTCGAGGCAAAGCCGCGCGCGCCATCACCACGCGCCGCACGAGACACGACGTAGACGACGACACACGCGCTCGCGACACCGGCGTCGTACCACACATGCTGCCGAGGAGCGCGAGCGACGGACGCAGGAGGCGCGAGGACAAGAGGAAGAAGAGCGACAGTAGTAGTAGTAGTAGTAGTAGCAGCAGCGGCGGCGGCGGCGGCGGTAGCGGCGACGGTAGCGGAAGCAGCAACAGCAGCAGCAGCAGCAGAAGCAGCAACAGCAACAGAAACAGTAGTCGAGGCCGTGCAGATAAGGGGCGGCAGCCCGAGTAAGGTGCCGGGCCGCGGCCACCAACAAGACAGAGATGCATCAGGCCGCACGCAGCGAGGACAACGAGATGGCCGAGCTGCCGGGGCCCGGGCCCAGATCTCCCGTGGAGACCCTGAAGGGCGGAGGTCAGCCCCTGCGCCCTATACACGGGGGCAAGCAGGAGGGCCGCAAGCTCTTCCAGTACCTCGCCACGCTTATCGGTGAGTCCCTCCTCCCTGAGCGTGCTTTCTCTCTCTCTCTCTCTCTCTCTCTCTCTCTCTCTCTCTCTCTCTCTCTATCTCTCTATCTATCTATCTATATCCCTTTCTCTCTCTATCTATCTATCTATCTATCTATCCATCTATTTATCTATTTATCTATCTATTTATCTATCTATCTATCTGATAATCTGTCTATCTATATTTTTATCAATATATCTATTTATCCATGTATCTCTTACTCATTCATTCTTACTTGCACGCGCGAGTGCGCGAGTCCAAATTTTCCGCGGTCGAGGCCCCGCCCCGCGCTTTATCTGTTCACCGATTGTGAAAGCGCGCGCACGTCTCACCGCCGTCACCCGGGGATTCGCGACCTTCGTCGGGAACCAGCCTTGAACCCGGAAACGTTCGCCGGGCACCCTTTCTCCGCAACTCCTCAAGAATGGGAGAGACCGCTCGACGAGTTCCATTGATAAACGCGGCTTCGGCCCTTATTCAAGCTATCGGATAGAGTCGATAACGGCCGCCGTAATAACGGCCGTGAATCGCTATTTTCGGATAATTTCCCGTTGCTCGCTCGCCCGCGGGCCGTTCATTCTTTTGCAGGAGCACCTTCTTCTTCTTTCCGCGGAGCTTATATTTAGATAGTCGAGCGCGCTTTCGTCCGAGAGCCTCTTGTATTCGAACGAAGAGCACGACGTCGAGGACAACGATGATACCACCCACGTACGAGCGATAGGACCGAATGTAGCGAACAATCACGAGTCTATTGGAACGAACGATTATTTCTTTATGTAACTGTTGCGGAACAGGTTGCACGTTAACAAACCTCGCGCGCAGCCAAGATCAGTCAATCTTCGAGCTTATTAGCGCCTGTCGTCATTCAGTTTTTTTCCTTTACAACTATTCATCGTTCATACACGTGTACAATTATCAAGTACACTCAAGTACATTCTTGATAATAATTTTATTACTTACTTCTTCATCAAATACAATTCAATCATACATACCTTCACCAAATAAATCTTAACTATTCCGTCAACAGTTTTGTTACCCAACTGCAACATTTTATCATCTACCGGCCAGAAGTTCAACGGACTATTGCTTTGTCTCATTTATAAACTCTTTCACGTACCCTCTCTCTCTCTCTCTCTCTCTCTCT